TAAGGCAGTTTCTTCCATCGAATAATCGACTTTATTGATGTACTACGTAGATATGAATCCAGTTCTAAGCATGCATATTTTATACTGTTATAAAAAGAATGAGAGGTCCGGAAGGGGAGCTCGGATTTGAAAGGGGTGGAGGGTAAAAACCTGCAACTTAATGTGTGCAGTAGAATATCTGATAAATTCTAAAGCCTTACTGTGTCGGAATAATATGAAAAGCTTAAGAAGCCTAGGTAGGGTGAATAGTCTTCACCACATGCTGAATTTTAATTACTATGTCGGCGAGCTGAACGCTATACTCTGAGCCTTTTACATAAATATCTTGACATGGACATTTCTTGGTTCAATTCTAATTAGGAAGGTTGCTATAGTTAGCTGATGTTAGAAATGCTTCGACAGAGAAGAGTTGAATTTCAAGGTGAGGACCCCGCCTCAGGTGCATTGTCCACGCGCACGAAGACAATAGTGCCACCCACTGGTGACCTGCATTGTCGCCATGGAAAAACACAACGGCAGCGCATTACGACAAGTGATCGAGAGCATGCGCTGTCACGCATATGCACCACAAATTGTTATTGGACTGCCAGGAAGCTGAGACTGTGACCGCTTTCACGACGAAAAGTTCGCTGGTTGCTGAGCAGCTTCCGAAAGCACTCCGCCCAAAAAGGATCCGCCCACTGGTTTAGTTGGTGATTTGGACGAGCTGCGTTGCCAGCAGCGGCACAACTAAAGCAACTCGACTGTAGCATGGATTGGCATGCTGTCACCAAACGCGTTGCGCTGAACTCGTTCATACGTCCGCTTTCTGAGCTGTTACCTGTTCATGAGTGAAAACCAACGGCCAAAAAGGGGTCCCGTTTTGCGTTTTCTTGACGGATTTCTCCGCTTTTTTCGCTACTGGCGTACCACTGAGCACCACCAGTCTCCTATAAACCTTCTCGAATCTATCGTAATCACTGCCTTTACTGGCGAACGGACCTTCGCTAGCTTCCATACCACGCTTTAGTAGTATCTTGCGAAGGGCCAGCCCACTTTTGCCAGGAAATCTCCTTTATGTATGTGTAAAAGGCCGATCAGTCGTACCGATTTTCAGGTATGGATCATTATTCTCTGTACTTTTGTATGTATAGCAATGACAATATCCGTCTGTACAATGCCACCGGCCTATTACTGTATCTACCTGATTGGTTGTATCGATTTCTTCTTTTTAATTTATTGGTGCAGTTCTGTGCGGGACCTGGAGTATGCTAAGCGCTTGAAAAAGAGCTCCATCGGAATTGGCACACTGAAGAGCACAAAACAAGTGATGCGTAGAAGAGTGAGTTTTCGTGAACTTTGCGGAAATGCTTTGTCAAGGAACAAAATGCTAGCTTTTATTCTCAAAGTCAGTATGTGTAATTACTGGAGGCGGGGTTAGTTTGTAGCCGTGATTGGTGGAAAGGCGTTGGCAGAAGGGTCAACCGTGACGTTCGCACATTTTCAGAAATTTCGCGACCCCCCCCTTTCCCCCACCACCATCATCAGTCTTAGGAGGCTACCTCAACTCCACCAATACAACCCCACCCCTCCTTAGCACGACCGCCACCCTTGCCATCATGGCTGTTTCAATAGTTCAATAGTATTTGAATCTGAAACCAGTCCACACAGCCCAGCTCCGCCCACTTTTCCTCCAAAAAGGCATCGACCGGTGGGGGGGTCTTACTGAGCAATGAATGAAACACGGCTAATTTTCCCTCACCAGTACCCTACCCGAACCCCACGCCGTACACCGTACACCAATTACATCCTCCAAAATCCCTACCGATCTAAATCACCTCGCCCTCCACCTCCACTCAACAAATTACTAATCCCACTCCACCACCCCTGAATGCGACCCCCTTCCCAAAATCAACCACAAATGCGACCCCCTCGTTCGAATAGTGCGAACGCACGGTTGACCCTAGTTGGGAGCCAAACGACCAAACCCCGGCGCGACGAGGTGTGGGGCTGTACCGCCTCCGAATGCCTTTTCACCAATGACACCTCCTAGTTAGCTCCGCCCAGGGTCAACCGTCCGTTGGACAAAGTCCAACGAGGGGTGGGGGGTCGTATTTGGGGTGGAAAAAGGGGGTCGTATTTCGCGAGGTAGCGTTAATGTCCCCCCCCCAGGAAATGCTGGTGAAATAGGGGGGAAGTGAAAGGATGTTTGCGGATTCGCGGATTCGTTGTAGGTATATACCCCCTCCCCGCTCGACGGTAATTTTGGAGGAAAAATGAGCCCCATGATGGCGATGGCAGGCGAGGGTGGTGAAGGGTTGACCCTGAGGGGGGGTCGTATCGAGGCCCTCTAGAAGGGGGAGGGGGTCGTAAAATTTTCGAAATCGGTCCAACGTGACGGTTGACCCTGGCTCCGCCCCGAGATATCGCAGATATCGCAACCACTGTCTTTAAGAACATCACTGTTGCAATTGCAAGCGCATGGGCAGCTGTGGTCTTCGGAATACTTGTTGTGGATATCGTTGGCGTAGTACATCTATTGCCCAAGAAATCACTGACAACGCTCTGGTGCTGTTTCTACCTCTCGTCGATGTTTTTGGTACTGTTCTGTACACCGTCGGCTAACTGTACAGCCTTCTGCTATTTGGAAAGTGTAGCAGCAGAATTCAAAAATATCAATCGCGATTTCAATCAGGACAACAACAAGCACCAGGTAATGAACAAATTTTGCAAATTGGGATGCTATAATTGAAAATCATTGCTATTCGAGCTACCAGTTGCCAGACACTATATTCGTGGACATGGACAACTCCTGAAGCTTTACGAAGCGGTCAGTCGTCCAGTGAGGTGAGTTTCAGACAAAGGCACTCTCCATATCTCACAA